TGAGTGAGTGAGTGAGTGAGTGAGAGAGTGAGTGAGTGAGTGAGTGAGTGCGAGTGAGTGTCGCTGTGAGTGAGTGAGTGAGTGAGTGAGTGAGTGAGTGAGTGAGTGAGTGAGTGAGTGAGTGAGTGAGTGAGTGATAATTAAATGCACTGCAGCACGTGTCAGACTTTAATGACCAAATTAGATATTTCTAACACCATACTTAGAAAACTGCTGTGATTTGCCTGCGGCCTGCGGCCAAATTTTACACCTCATTTTCCTGTGTCCGAAAAGAGAGTAAATGAGGCTTTTAGAAATACAATTAACTCGGCAAAGTTTTTGGTTTCATAGTAATTTTTGGTGGAAGAGAGTAGAAATAGTAGTAACGCGCGAGTAACCAGGCATTCTCCTTAAGACGTGACAACATGTCCGTGTCTCGTGTTTGTAGTGTTGTAGGATAAGTTTTTTTTTCTTTCGTGATGTTTGGGCCTGTTCACCTCTTTTCTCGCAGAGCGAGGCTCGGGGATGCACGGTGCTGCTCGCTGGAATGTGCCAGGCAGGCTCGACCTTTAGCGATGTGCACTTAGGCCCCAAATACGGGGCCATTTAGCAGTCCAGCGGGCACGGGACGAGGCGCCAGTATTTATATAGAAAAACGGAGAGAAAATGACGGAAAACGAGGAATACATGTAAGAGAGGGAGATGGGGTAATTAGAGGGGCAAGGTGAATACTGCAAAACAACGGCAGTTCAGTTCGATCGAAAACTCGCCCGCTCCGCTCCGCACGAGGAGATACGTCGATCCTCCGCCCACGCAGACGATGTCAGTCGTAAGGGCAAGGGCGCGTCTAGATCGACTGCCGCAACTGCTGCTCGTGAAGGCCACGAACCTCTTCCGATACCTCGAGTCGAAAGTGATCCTCTGATCGAGATGAGCGAGGTGGTGAACTTTTGATTAATCTAGTTCATTCAAATTTACGAAACAAGTGCTAGAAGCGATGTGGTGCAGGCATACAGGAAAAGGGGAGGGGGGGCTGAAAAATTCGCAACTTTGTAAAAAGAAATGTGAAAAATAAATATAAAAATTAACTTGTTTTTTTTATTATGCGCCCATGTTGAAATATTACGTGGAGGTTTGTGTAGCATTGTTTCATTTCTTATTTTATTTTGGTGTGTTTTTTGCTTATCCAGGCCGTATTGAAAAATTACAGTTAAAATCTAATCTTTGTCAATGATGTACACATCGTTTCCGGGCAGATTTTGTTTCATTATTCATAACGAGGTCTTTAAAAAAAGTCCCAAGCCGCTTCAATCCGCCTCTAGCTCCCCTCCCCCCTTTACCCCTCCTCCCTCTAACCCAAGCGGCTAATCCAACGATTATCACGCAGCCGAGTCGTTCTGCATACTTCCTCTCCGCCTCCGAAAACGTGGGAAAATCCGTCGAGGGGAAAAAAAGGCTGTTGGTGTTGTTCTTTCCGAGTGGAGCTTTCGCTGAGCAGCAAGGACCGCCAAGGCCGTGCTGGGGGGCTTTATGCGCGGGGATGCATGTGCAGTCGCGGCCTGGGCAGCCATGGGCAGCGCCCCGACTCATTCGTCAAAGACGCTGTGACGGCGCCGCACAGGGGCTTGGGGATACCTGACCGGGAGGAGCGCAGGCATCCTTGATTTTCTTAGATTTTCTTTTTGCCTACTTACAGGCTGTTTGCCCTAAACGGCTTGCCAACCCACCAACCAGGTGTCTTATTAAGGGCGTATAAGGGGGTCATGGTGGTTGGTGGTAGTATAACTAGAGAACACTGTTGTATTTTTCTGATTTCCCAACACTTTCACGATACGAAGCAACAGTGAAATCACAACATTTCTTTTGAAGTCAAAAATAGTGCACTTTGCTATCTTAATTTGATATAGTTGTGAACTAATCGTTATAATTTCTGAAGTAATCAACTTTTGACAGCGAAGAAGAGTCGTGATTTCGCAAAGAGTTCTAGCACCTTTTTTCGCAACTGATTCTTCGTCAAGTTCTTTTCTTTTTTTATTTTCAACAGTAAAATTGCGCGTGGTTTATCAGCCACCTAGGGCACATGCTGATTAGTAGCTCCTTTGTTTTACGAATGCTCGCGCTCACGAGCTATCTCCGAAAGCCACTGAAGGAAGCTATAGGTGGTCATCGTGAAGGAGGCGAGCGAAAATGAACCCCGTCCTTGAGTCCTAGAGGGACCCGGCGCGGCGGCCCGCCCACCTCCACCCTTCCTTTGCACCACGCAGTCTGATCCCCGCAGGTGATGAGTCCCGCGATGACGCGCGGGGGGCGAGACAATGCGGCGGCGCGTAGGGCGACGCAGCGGCGGGACGCGCCATTTCCGGTCCAGAGTGTGCTGGCGTCCGACCCACCCCACCGAAGGTCGCCGAGTGGAGGGGGAGGGGGGGGGGCAGCCGGGCGAAAGGGCCCGTTTCTCTTTACATCACGGCCTACACGTTTCACTCGATGCTCGATGGCTGGGTCAATGTCTCGTGGACTTTAACCAATTATTGTCGGGTCGGTTGTCAATGTTTCTCTATACTCACTTAACTCCCAGCGCTTGTAAAAAAAATAAAAAATAAAAAAAATATAAAAAAACAGAAGTGAATTTTACTTTTAAAATTTGCGTGACGCTTGACCTTTTAATTTTGATGAACATAACGAGGCCACCTTGAGTGACGCTTTATGTTTCACTTGGATTCGCTGCCGCGGCTGCGCCGACTGCGCCACAACCTGGTTCGCGCCGGCACCGCGACGCTCTGCTGCGACGGCCAGCGCAGCGCGGCGGCGTCCCCTTGTCAGCCGTATTTCAAATCGCATCCAGCAGATTAACAGTCACTCAGCGGAGACGTTACACGGGTTCATGCCGGCCGCACCTGTCCGTGTGCCGTTGTTTTTGTTGGACTCTGCGTGCGTGCGTTCGTGCGCGCGTTCGGGCGGGTAAGCTTGCGTGCGTGTGCGCGCACGCTTACGTGTACGCGTGCGTGCGTTCGGGCGGGTAAGCGAGTGTCGCGCTGCCGCGAGCGGCCGCTGCGGCTGCCATTTGAGAAGCTCGCAACGCATCTCTGCCCTCGGCTTGATTGACGAGGGGCCACCGGGGGGTCGCGGGGGGCGCGTCGCTACGCGTCGCTCCTGCGGCCGGAGCCCTCTCTGCGCGGCCCGCCAGAGTGAGACACTTGAGACGCTTGACTGCGAGGCACGCGGCCCGATTTGTCTCTCTGATAGGGGCAATAAGAAGCGGTGCAGGGCCTGCCGCCGTGCTGTGCGCACCGCCCCGCGTTTGAGTCACTGGCTTTGGCTGGGCGTGGCGTGGCGCTGCCGGGCGTGGCGCCCAGCGGCGGAGATGCATTGGGCACGATCGTTGTTGATTTATGGGGTGGCTGGCTGGACGGTCGGCGAGGGTGTCGCGAGCTGGCCGCCGCCGCCCCCGCCCGGGGGCCCGCCCCGGGGGC